GTGGTAGCCCTCCTGCAAAATGGCCTCCGCCGGATGGTGCTCGACCGTGGCCCCTCCGACGAGGAGAGGGATTGCTCCTTTCCTTCTTTTCCTCCTTTTTCCTGGTCGGAGGTCAGTCAGGGGTTTTATACTATGGCGCGAAGGCTGATGGTGCGTCAGACGGCACTGCCCCGAGCCCTTGAGACAAGACGTGTGGCGTAAGGTTTTGACTTGACATGCTGTGTCAGCTGTGACGTATTCAGACTGTTAAAATATACCGTATCAGTATTAATTATCATCGTTGCTAGGCATCCTTTCACCTTACCACACCATAGTACTCGTTCCCAGAAGGAGACGCGATTGTTAGCAGCGGTCTTACCTTGGTTGTCCATCCCTTACTGACCCTTTCCCTTTCCCTTTCCGGTCAGGACTCGCATTTGTATCGTGGTTATCCTTCCGTTTCCGAGCAGTCGACGCGTTATCGTTTCGCGGCGTCGTGGTCGGAGTCGTCGTTGTCATCGTACCGTACGCGTAGCCGATGTGGTAAACCCATAACGTCCTCGTTACATTCGTACTCCCAAACCACACCATGTTACGTGTATATAAAGACACGCCCATCATATCCGGCGCGTCCGTATTATATTTGTCAGTTGGTTGCGCTCGTCTCCGAGTTCGATCTGTCGGTAGGTTTTCCTCCCCCTTCTCCCTTCCGCGACCAATTTCCTGCTCGATCCGATCCGATCCGATCGCCATGGATAAGAAGATCATCCTCAAGAGCTCCGACGGCGAAGAGTTCGAGGTGGACGTGGCGGTCGCCATGGAGTCGCAGACGATCAGGCACATGATCGAGGACGATTGCTTCGAGAACGGCGTCCCCCTCCCCAACGTCACCTCCAAGATCCTCGCCAAGGTCATCGAGTACTGCAGGAAGCACGTTGACGCCGCCTCCAACTCCTCCGGCGACGCCTCCAAGGTCCCCGACGAGGAGCTCAAGGCCTGGGACGCCGACTTCGTCAAGGTCGACCAGGCCACCCTCTTCGATCTCATTCTGGTAGGATATGAGCGCTGACCACTATTCCCTTCTATTGCTCGGTAATTGATCTGCTTGATTTCCCCTATTTTTCCTTGCAAATTAGATTTATAATTTTGGTTTGGTTAAACCCTAAATGATGAACAAGTTATCCGTTGTTAGAATCTTTTTAGGCACTTATAGTTTCTTAATTTATTGTAGTTCTTGAAGATATATTTCATACCTACCAATCTAAACCAGGGAATCTTCTGATTTCGTTTATAGAACGAGGGGTGTTGACATTTGGTGTTGGATCTATAATGCCTACTTATTATCTTCTTCCAGTTAGAGCCACTCAGTATCTGTTAGCCATGATAAGTTGTTGTAATTTAAGAATTCATCAAGAGTCTATGAGATGCCAATTTATAGTAGTAGCACCCATAAATTATTTAGTTGTATCATGATATTTTAGCCACTTATAGTTACAAATGGACGAGGTTTAGGGTAGCAAGAAGATACTGTGAAGGACGTAAGGAATTGAGAAAATGTCTGTTGCAGTTGGAAGCTGTATGGCATGGGAGCTAGGTAGAGAAATAAAAATTAAGCAGGCAGAGTTAGGAAAAGAAAAAGGAAATTAGGAAGAGGAACAAGAGGAGATAATTCTAGTGAGTAGGAGGAGAGGCATATGGTCTGTTCTTATTGTCTTTCTTTATTTGCCTATTTATTTTGACAGTGTTGCTGTAGTTCTTGGCTGCTAGGCCTACACGTTGTATCCTGAAATTTTTATAGTTTGTTTGGAGTTTCATTTAGATTTAATAATTGTACTCATTTTGCTTTCTTTTTTTTTTTTGCTTTTACCTTTTAGGTAAGTTACTTCATCTTTGTTTGTGGCTTTCATCTTTAGTTTTACTGTTTTGGATATTTATTTGAGTAATTTTTCATGTATCAAAGCCCCATTATGTGGGGGTGTTCTATGTTCTACAAATGTGCTTTAGAGGAGGTTTAAACTTCCATTTTTACACATGTTTGGATAATTTTTTGTTAGATTAGAAAGAAAAAAATTTCTTTTGTTTCCTTTCTTGATGATTTTTTTACTAGATGGGAATTATGACACCTGATTCGTTCCAAATCGTAAGTGTGAGGAGAATCTCAAGCCTGAAAGGGCTCTTCACTATCGATAAAAGGCTTAAACATTTTATGTCATTTTGTATATGAACTCGTCACTTTGTAATTGAAAGAGACCATTTCATGGAGTTGCTAGACTAGTGCGTTATGACAATAGATAGAGTGGACCTTTAATTATACATTTTTGGTGAGCAAGCCCAAGTAGGAAAGGCCTAATTATTAGTAAAAATGTTAATGAATCAGCCATGTGTTTGAAGTCTCACTTGTTGGATTTCCCTGGGCAATAGGGGCCTAAAATGCTGGGTTGTGACATTAATTATATGGAGCTCAGTGTTCTATATTTTAGGAGTGCAATTAACATCCTAGGTTGAGTGCTTCAATGGACCTATTTGGTATATTGAGACTTAACAAGTCAAAAGTGAAGCAGTTAGTGGTGGTAGACCGATCAATTGAGTGACCAAGACAAAGTAGGCCTAGTTAAAATACAACCAACAATTTCATAGTTCAATCAAGACAATAAACGTCATGTCGCTTTACTTAATCGAATCATCATGTCAAAATAGTCACTGGTCTATTCAAGCTCTCCAAGGAGTATCATTTTCTGGTACGCTCAGAGTAATGTTTATGGTTGCTAAGAGTATTTGCGTCGTTTGTTAAGGTTAGCATTGCAGGTTTTGTTGCATTCTGCAGTGCATTCATCCCAGGGGAATTCAGTTTAGCAACCCTAAAATTTTTCATGTTAAGCTCAGAAGCTTTCTTAAAATATTTTGTTTCTTATTACGTGTATTATATTTTATATGCATATATGAGTTTGGCTGGTGAGTGGTGAATACTTATCTGGTTGATATTGGTGAAGCATGGGGTGTTAATGCAGTGCACTATCTCTAAATTTGAGTTGTAGCCACTTGACAGACTTCTAAAGGGAAATGTCTGGTGATTTTTCATCTCCTTTGAACCTTGGCCTTCTGCCTCCTCTAAATGAAGTTATAGCCTCTCACGAAGACCAGACTGACTAGATTATGAATGGTTTGTAGTAATCACTCCTTAATGGCTGATAATGAGTTAGATTCACATACTTGTTGATTGGTTGGTTACACAGTAGTTTATAGATGACTACTAAGCTTTGGTTTGAATTGATTGGTTTCAATTAAGTTCTCCCATGAAGTATCACCCCCTCTAAGTCTCTAAATATCTTTAATACAAATATTCAAAAAAGTGTCAGACATATATATCTGAGAAGTATCTATCTGAGTACCCTTTGGTCATGCCTCTGAATGCTTGCATGATATGTTTGTGTGTAAAATTGCAATGGGGCTGTCTTCGTAGCCCGCTATGATAGTCTCTGGTGATCCGAATTATGATGCTGTCTGATTTTACTTTTTGTACTATGCATTTGTGAATTGAAAGTCGAAGTTGTTTGTGTTTCATATTTAGGCATGTCTCTTAATGAAATTAAGATTCATGTTGGCATGTCTTTATGTCCATTTAATACAAACTTACGAAAGATTTTGGTACTCAAAAGTGGTGGTGCATATAATCTATGAATCCAATTGTGCTGATGACCGTGTGGTGGATTCAGGCTGCAAATTATCTGAACATAAAGGGGCTGCTGGATCTTACCTGTCAAACCGTGGCGGACATGATCAAGGGGAAGACGCCTGAAGAGATCCGCAAGACCTTCAACATCAAGAATGACTTCACCCCCGAGGAAGAGGAAGAGGTGCGGAGGGAAAACCAGTGGGCGTTCGAGTGATCTATTGGTGTGCCTACCTTTCGTCAAACCTTATCATATCTAGTGACAAGGCAATTAATTACTCACGGTCTGTAATTAGGTTGGATTATGAACAAAATGTGAGAAGACTTGAGAAACTGTCAATTGGGACACACCATAAATTTGCTTTTTAGTTTTCATTGCATGTACAGTAATTAGCTATTATTATGATTTGATCCCTGGATTTTATATTGGTTTGTTTGCTATGTTGTCTGCATAGATCACATCACATGCATGACTATTTTTACTGGCTGTCAGGCTTCCCCAGGAATGGTTTCCAATATCGTTCGTCATACATGAATCATACATAGGTCACGCAGGCGATGTGTTCATTAGTTTGAGACCATTAAAAAGGGAAAATGGAAGAAGAATGGGCACGTCATACATTCAACTGCCGGACGTGCAAAAGAAATCCAAAAAAAAAAAAAACGTTGGTCATTCTCTTTTATTTCTTGCAGCACATTTATCTTAAGGAATTAAGACTGATTGTTTTTTTTTTTTTTTTCTCTTGGAAAGAATTGTGGGTGCAGCGGAACGCCGCATTGCGGAGTATATATGTTGTATTTGTGGTCGTCGGTGACGCGTTCAGTCCATCTGAGCCGTTCGTTCGTGACATCAGGCTTCCATAATCTTCATGAGCCCGGAGATCAATCAGAACCGTTCGATTCACGGCAAAACGGTCGGGGATTTTAAGCCGGGCGGGGCGGGACGGGGCGCTTGACGCTGATGTGCTGGTCAAACATGCCGTGGGTCAACTCAATAAATACGCATAAATTTACACGTTTAATTGAAGTCAACAAATGAGAGTTGGGTATTAGATTCTAATGTTAAGCTCAACCACTCATGTGCCGTTGGCAACATTCCATCAGTTCATCACATTTCAACAACTCATTCTATCTCGTCAACTGCAGACGAAGCCTACATTCGATCAGTTCATCACATTTCAACAACTCATTCTATCTCGTCCACTGCAGACGAAGCCAACGAATATTTCGATACTTCACTCGTGTCATGTGAACCCTAACTCATGTATGACCCGTCACTCAGTCGAATGCATAATGTTAACAAGCTTTCCAAGTGATTAAATAGCGATACAAAAACCAAGTACACAACAACTCAAACCAAGTAAGTACACTGACATGCATTAGGACATTTAGGATTAGGTACATGCTCGAGAAGTCGATACAGATCACAACAGAGAAGCGGAAACCAATCACCTGATGCGCCATGGGAGCATCGGTCGATTGTGTATCGAAAACAAGATTCTCGTACGGAGCAAGACGCTACAAGAAAGGATGGCCAGTGCATTGAATTCATTTCCACAAGCATAACATTCACAAGATGGAGCAAGACTTCTGTACCCCACCTTTCTTTTTCTTCTGCTTGGGCGGTTGAAGCACCACTTTGATGGCCGCATCAAAAACCGTCTTAACATTCTGCACATTGGATTTCGAATAAACACTGATATACGTCAGTAGAGGCATTATGTATGCAAAGTTTTGGTGTAGGGGCAAGAACATACTTGCTGGGTCTTTGAGCTGCATTCGATGTATGCAGAAGCGCCAATTACCTTTTTCAGCTCCTCCCCCTTAAACCATGTAAGATTTGTCATAAAAGGATATGATACAAGAAAGAAATTATACGCTCTCTTACCTGAGCAGTACTTATGGGTGCAGCACCAGGGTGATCTATAAAAAACTGCTGGTCATCCCGGAGATCTGCCAACAAAGCCATGCACAATTAGATGCGACATATAGAACCAATAGCCATCCTACATGTTTCAATTTAGCATTATCAAGTGTGTGTAATGTAAACTCAATCAGAGGAACATGACTGGCTCATAAACAAAATTCTCCATGCAAAACTCACTGGAGAAAAGTTGCAGATATATAACTCAAACCTGGTAAAAAGAGTTGATCAAAGAGGACAAAATGAGATCTGTTTTCTTGTCCTACCACAGCACATACTCACATAATGCATGATGAGTAACTCAAATTCTTAAGTGAATGTTCAATTCCATAGTTTCAGAATCCAAGTACCATGCATTTACAAACAACTTGACAAGTTAAGCTTGTCTTTTCTTGAATGCAATTAGACTAGTAGCATTGGGTAATGGGTTAAGGCTTAATCCAAGCGTAATCAAATTATTGGACTACCTAACTGTTGAGGGCTCTAATTAGATGCCACCAGACTACAAAATCACAACCTATTCAACCATGCCCAACAAGATAAAAAGAGTTTCCAAGCTAAACAGTCTTGGTTTGAGTTAAGCAACAAAAGGACGGAATCAACTTGCTTGGATGATGGAACCATTAGTTTGAAATAATTAGCATTACTCGATGACCAGAATATTGATAAAAGAGCCCAGTAGAAGGACTTTAAGCTAATGATTTACTTCCAGTACGATAATATTTTCAATTACTTAGCTCTCTCACATGGTTAACAAGAAAGTCGTTTTAAGACACAACGTCACTGGCGTACCAACCTCTCCTTGCGAGTGTTGCTTCAAGCCCCTGATGGGCATCACCATGTGATTCTACCTACATCTATCACAGTCACAGCTTAACAATTTTCCAATCTGTTACCAAAATACTTGATTCTTGTTGCCAAGTTATTTGACAAATAGTTCATCCACCTATCACGCATATATTTACCATGATCCTTTCTGACTTCAGTAGTTCTGTTTCATGTAGACAAACTATTTTCTGCTAGTCTTAACTTAGACTCCCTTGTTAAATTTTTTTCACAAGCACATCATCAGAATGCTCCTTATGCTCATAGCCATAAATGCTTTCCACCAAGGTACTGACTTTACATTGTAAAAAAGCTGCATCCAAACTGCAGGACAGAATATTGGCCTTCTAACACAGACAATATGAGAACACATGAGAACACAAAATTGTTTGGAGTTAAAATGTGTATACATGATGATTACCAAGTTTTGTTCCAACAAGAATTATCGGCACACCAGGTGCATAATGCCTCAGTTCAGGAATCCACTGAAAAGTTAAAAGGGGGCAGAACAGGTAAGAAAAGGTTCAAATTTTAGCAAGTCAACAGAAAATACAGGATTAATGAAAGACTTTATATAAATAAGAGGGATTCAGTTTTTGCCTTCTTAGCCACATTCTCATAGCTGGCTTTACTTATCAGAGAGAAGGCCAGCAGAAAGACATCTGCACCTCGATAACTCAAAGGTCTAAGTCTGTTGTAATCCTCCTGGCCTGTATCACCAACCAACAAGTAGAAATGCACATTACAGGATACATAAAGGCTAGCGGGTGTGTTATAAAGAAAGAAACAAGATGAACAAACAACAACAAGAAAAGCAGAAGATCACCTGCAGTATCCCACAGACCTAGGTTGACTGTGTTACCGTCAACCACTACATTTGCACTGAAATTGTCAAATACCGTAGGAACATAGTCCTGTCTCCACAAAAATAACACAAATATTTATGAATACAAAGAAAAAAATTAAACTCTTTAATCTGTAATCAACTGTAAAAAATTGCAAGGTAATTATTACTTTGATTGAAAATAATGTTGGGTAAACGAACTTCATAAGGGAGTAGATGCCTCAAAACCCTATCAATTGGCACATAGATCGTTGGTTTCAAGATATAGGAAGAAAGGAACTAGTTTCATGCTTGAAAGCAGTGATGAACAATGCTTTTCTGGTGTATAATTCATCACTCTGCGAAGCATATTTGATGCTGAGGCTTGGTACAAAGTGTTGTCATAAATTCTACTGAATCTCAATTATTTAAAAGCACATATATTGTATCTGGACATAATTTTCAAGATAACAGATTTGAGAGATTATGCTGCAGAAATAGATCTGCATACTTTATTTTCTGGAACTATTGCTAGAAAATAAAAACAACAGATAAAAGCATTGACCAAAAGCAAGCTAGAGAAATTCAATAATGCTGAAAGAAAAGGGGTATTCGTGATATCTAGTAATTTTTGTCTTAAAATCAAGAAAAGAAAAGTTAACGATTCTTTCTTGGATGCTTTTCTCGGATCAAATATTTCAACCACGGAAACTCTCAAGAGAAACAAATGCATCATAAAAGACAACATGAGCACAAAAAAGAAAGTATTTTTGTTTTCTGAAATGCAATGCCAAAAAGAATCCGCAAAAAGTATAGAGTCTCAAATCCAGATCAGCCCCTAAAAAGGACGAAAGGCCTGCAACTTTCTCACAGAAACTCGCCTAAAGTAACGAATTCTCGAGCTCTCACCGTGGGGAAAGTGTTGCTGGTGTACGATATGAGCATGCAGGTCTTGCCGACAGCGCCGTCCCCCACCGTGACGCACTTTATGAACCTGGACGCACTCATTTCCTCCGCCGGTCTCCTCCTCCCTCAAAAAATCCACCCTTTTCCCTCTCCTCCTCCTCCTCCGAGGAGTGCGAGCCCGACTCCGCGCGGCCTCAACAAGTAAACATCTGCAAGCCCCAACAGCAAGCCCCACATCTGTCAGCCGTCTCAAAAGCCTCCATGGAGCACAAATGGGGAAGCAGAGAAAACCCTAAGCCTAGCCCCAGAAGGAGGGGAGATCCAAAAAGCGATCGCCTTTGGATTCCCTTTTCTCCTTCTCCTTCCCTTTTCTTTCCTCTATCAGAGAGAGAGAGAGAGAGAGGAGGCGCACCTTCAGCTGTCGGGGGGTTGGGAAGAACGCTTCGGCCGGAAAATGGTGCGGTTGAAGCGGTCGCCGAGAGAGAAAGACGTCTTTTTGGCTGTGAGAGAG